TTTTGTGAGATATGAAGAAAATAGCATGCATGTATATGTAAGCTAGGATTTGAAGCTACTATTAGGATTTTGGTGATATCTCAAGATCCTTAATGAATTTGTAGTTGAATTTTTTTGTGGTAGTTTTTGAAAGTATATCAACACTTCAAGTAAAATGTTACATTTTTTGGATGGTCAAATCGTATGATATGACTATTGAAGTTCAAGAAACATTTCTAATAAGGATCTATAAGGTTTTAAGATACTTTATCATACATTTGGGTGTTTTTTTAGTACTTACACTTAGATATTGATGTAATTGTCCTAAAAGAAAAAATGTTATAAATATAAACTTGGTACTTTTATATCTTAGACTTAATTGAGAATTTAGTGGTAGCCAAAAGCTCAACACTTTCTTGAGACAAACTCTCTCTACCCAGACAATGCCAAGATAGAAAAATAAATAATTTTATACTACTTGAGTTGACTTTTTAAGATATATCATTTTAAAAATTGGTCTTATGATAGATCTTAAGAAGCTCTAAGCTATTGTGAATTAAGAAATTCCAAAAATAATCAAAGATGTAAAACATTTTTTGAGATTTGCCAATTATTAGAGAATCTCTATTTATAACTTTTTTCAAGTTGTGACTTCTCTTATATGCCTCACATGCAAAGACAAACATGAGTAGAAAAATAAAATTGAAGCATTTTTTGAAGCCCTAAAGATAATATTTATTTTTGCACAAATTTTGTATTACATGAATTTTTCTAAGACATTCTTTATGGAAACAAATGCATTAGAATTTACAATGGATGTTATTTTATCACAAATAGAAGTAAATGATAAGCTCTATCTAATAGCTTTTTATTTTAAGAAATTTTCAATAGCAAAGATTTACTATGAGATCTATGACAAAGAATTTCTTGTAATCATTGATTCATTTCAAGAATGGCATCATTATTTGGAAGGCATTTTAAGTCTAATCTTTATATATATGGATCACAAGAACCTCAAGTACTTCATATTGAGATATGATTTGAATTTTTGGAGCATGTTTTTATGAAGATTTGATCTCAAGGTCACTTATCTATCCAAAAAATAACCAAGTATTACAAACGTCCTATCTAGACATTCTTATCTTGCACCAAATAAAAAAAATAAAAATTTTGGTCAACAAAAAATTACTCTCTTGAAGCCAAATGATTATCACCTTCAAGGAATAAAATCAATATTAACTATTGATTCAATTTTTCTTAAGCAAATTCAATCAAGTATGTCCTCTAATCTTTTTATTCATGATATTAAGAATAATTATTATAACTCTTATGAGTCTTCTTAATTTAAATTTAAGAATAAATTATTCTATATTAAGAGATGCTTATACATTTTGGAAGACAAAGCATGATTACATATTATTTAAGCTTATCATAACTTTCTAATAGTTAAATATATTAGATACAAAAATATTTTAGAAGTAATATCTAGAGATATTTGGTTGTCTCAAATGTAGAAGGCAATCAAAGGCTTTGTACAATCATGTGATATTTATTCAAGATTCAAAACTCCTCATCATCAACCTTATGGACTTCTTAAAATATTACCTATATTAGAACAATTATGGTCTTGTACTTTTATGAATTTTATCACACATCTTTGGATCTTGGATTTATATGATATCATATTTTTACTAATAGATTATTTAATTATATTTTTATATTTTGTACTATGTACAAAATCTATCACAAGTGAAGAAATGGCTAAGATTTTTCTTGATGACATCTATTACTATCATGGATTGTGTAAAGATACTATATTGGATAGAAAGACTTAATTATATTAAGATTTTGGAGAACCCTTTTTAAGATTCAAAATGTGAATGTAAAGCTCTTTTTGGCTTTTCATCTTCAAATTGATGGACAAACAAAACAAGTGAATTAAATTTTGGAGTAATATTTGAAGTGTACTATCAACTATCATTAAGATGATTGGACAATTCTTTTGCCATTGGTAAAGTTTGCATACAATAATTTGATTTATTCATCTATTCAATAAATACCTTTCTTTATCTATTATGGTTATCATCCATGACTTGATACTTTTGACTTTTTAAAAGTTGATAATCTTGCAAAAGATGATTTAGCAAATTATTTATCAAAGCTACATGCAATAATGAAGGCGCAATTAAAAAAAGCTAATGAATGACAAAAGTTCAATATAGATGCCTATTACAAGGAATAACCACAATTCAATGTGAGCAATAAAATAGGATTACTTTGTTATAATATAAAGACTACTTGTCTTTGTAACAAGTTGGACTATCATAGGCTTAAACCATTTCCTATTTATGAAGAAAACAATGACATTGCTTATCAATTATATCTACTAGCATCTATGAAGAGCCATCTTATACTCTACGTGTTTCTTCTTCAATCATATAAGATAATGAATATCTTAAAAAGAAGAAAAATACCACCTCTTTCTATAAAATTGGATAATAATCAAAAACTAGAGGTTGAAGAAGTCTTAAATTGAAGGTACTGCCAAAATAGATTAAAATAACTTATTCATTGACAAGAGATGTTGTTAATAAATTTACATGAATACCAACAAAGAATCTTACAAATATAGCTAAGAGAGTTGAGGCTTTTTATCAACAATGTCTATCAAAATCAAGATGAAAAATAGTAAGATCCATGAGAGATGATGGTTGCTTTTTATTTCTAAAAGAGAAAATATCATCATGGATATATGTATATATTTCAATAATTATATATATCACTAAGTAGAAATAAATAAATATAGATTAATTTTATAATATCTTATAAAAAAACTTCTTAGAAGCATCATAAATGTGGTTCTGACTTTACATGTATATATATTTGATTAATAAATTAGAAATTTGGTCAACAACTTAACTAAATATCACACATGTTGGAAGCTTCTAAAAGAGACTAATGATATGGTGCACATATAAGAAACTTGCCTTGTAAGTTAAAACATATATCTCATAAAGTCAACATCTATTGGCGGTCGTATAGATGATTGCCATGCAACTTCTAGTTCGATAGTATATATAGACGCAAATGTAGAGCTTCCTTCATTCTTATCAATGCTTTTCTAATTCTTAGTCTTATTTCAAGACTTTCTAGTCTTCTTATCTTTGGCAATAGTCAATTTAGTTTAATATATTATCATCTTTGATTGATTTTTAAGTCTTTTTGACTGATACAAGAATATATTGGGGTTTTTTTCTTTCAAGATTCATGTCTTTGATATGAAGTAGAATACAAACAAGATCTTACAATACAAAACTAAGTATTTACAATAAATGAATTTTTTTTGTAGAATAAAAAAAAATAGAAAATTATTTAAATGAGATTCTTTCTTACTATAAATTTTATATAAAAATAAAAAAATATTATTAAAAGATATAAATATAAAAATACTAAAAAATAATTTAGTGTTAATATTAATAACTGGATTGTTGATAAACTCAAAGTTAAAAATTATTTTAAGAAGTAGAATAAATATAAGTGAGATTTTTAATTTTAATTGAATTTTGTTGTTACTATTGCTTTAAAAACAAATCATTGCTTAAAACATAAATAAGATTTTTTAAAAGTTTATTTTAAGAAATTAATTATTAATTTAATTTTCTTTTTTAATTTTAATAATACCTTTTGATTATGATGATAATTCAAATTTTTAAATGTCATTAGTAATATGTGTTTTTAATTTGTTGTTATTGTAGTTTGAAAATTTGAATTCAAATAAATGATTCAATTAAAACATATAAATATTTAATTAGATTAGGATCTTAGAATTAAGATTTTAAGAGTAAATGAGGATTTTTTTGATGAGGGTTTATTTTTAAGCAATAAGCCTTTCTAATTGAAATGATTTTATTTGAGCCAATAAAGAAATTATTTTTCTATAATAATGTCAAGTTTAAGGCCATGTAACTAGTTTAATAAAGAGCTTTTGTTGCTAATAAATTAACTTACAGGTTTCTAAAGTAGGACAGTAAACATTCAAAAAAATTAAAAAATATATATATATATATATATCAAAAAATAAGTACAATTTTATTTATAGATCATTTGAAAGCTATTAAGCTATTACAATGTTGACAAGAACTCTTGCTTATCTAAATTGTCTATTTTTGTATCTTTTTATTTTGGTGGAAAAGTCTTTGAGTCTATGCATTTTCAACTCTTTGCAACAAGGACATTTTGTAGGCGACATGCATGCAGTGTTGTGGAGTTTGGGATATCGATGCTCATAATAGATAGACTATGCCTTGGGATTTAAATTTTTGGTGTGGTCATCTCATATTTCCTTTGTCCATCTAGAACTAGTTAAATAAGTAGGCATTTATTAGAGTTTGGCATGGTATTCAAACCCCTCTTATTAAAATGCAATTTATAGCGCATAAATATCTAGTGTTGATTTTTTTTGCACTTGATGTGTAGTTAGACTAGTAATTAGAGTGTATGTAGTTAGATTATTTTGAAAGAACTTCATTTTAAGTTTTAATTTTTTCAATATTTTTAATTGTTTTTAGATCCTCCATTGCAACCAAGAGAATCTAACTTTTAAATCAACTAAAAAAATCAAATCGAATCAAATTAGAAAGATATACTATTTTGGGTTGTGTGTGAATTTGATGTGTACAAAAACTCGAAAATTTAGGTGAGTTATCTTGCATTCCAACCAAATGGTTGTGAGCACAAATTAGTCAACATAAACACAATCCTTGCTCAATGAAAAAATCTTGAATTCCGTCGCATGAAAATGTATTGAGTTCATGATTAACATATCTCAAATGAAAATGAAAATGAAAAAAGGTCATTGTTTGAATTCACCTGTCCACAAAATTTATAGTGGATATTAGAAGTTTTCAATCATTATGAGCATTACATGCCGTAATCAAATTGTTGAAAAATGAATAAGAAATGCTGTTAATTCACAATCACAAAACTTGTATACACATATGTAAAGCTTGTCTTTGTCAAGCATGGAAAAGTTTTACACACAAATTGCATTTAATATCTGCCTGGGTCATGAGCTGATACGTGTAAGTTAATTTCCATTCTTTGTGAAAGCCTCGAATTGAATGTAAATCAACTATCTCGCTCTCGTGAGGTTCTTTAATTTATCCAAATGGTCATGCCACATGTCAAAGACCGCGGTAAAGTCTAACAATAAGACTCTCCAATCGATGGTCAAAATTGGCAATGCACATGTGTCATGGCTCTAGACACCCCCGTCATCATATGGCCATACAGTATTGGTTCACAAATAGGAAAATGCTGCATTTCCACTCAGACGGAAACATGTTCCAGTATGAGCTAATAATGGCAAACCCACCGGACGATTCCCTTACGATTTATATTTGAAGTGAAGAATCTAAAGTCTGCAGCTGTTCGTTGACAACCATACGGACCAATTGTCATAGTTCCCTAGGATTTTGAAAGTGGATTGTGACGTCTTCGAAGCTTCATGCGGATGGTCCGAACAAGCCAGCAGCCGAAGTAAACTCCAGGTCATCTCAAAAGGCTGTCAACGTTGAAAGAAACCAACAGGCGCCTGGAAAAGGAACAAAAGCCGCAAGAAAAAAGTCGCCAAGACTGCACTGTTCCTGTCGAAGTCCTACATCATTCAACGCTCTTCCCTGGCTTGTGGGCCACCACATTCACTCTGCACACTCCCCTCATCTAGAAAGCGATGCTGAATGAAGCTGCACAACAGAGAACTTCTCTGTGCACTCAACGCATTCAGGAAGTGTAGCAGATAGAGCAACAAACTTGTGAGCTAACAGATTCAGAGCGAGACGTCTGCTCAACTCGGCCACCTTCTCGCCGGCACATTGTGCGTTGCATATAAGCCCCCTGATTTTGGCAGGTATTTGGCGTGGCGCCC